ATTAAAATTAAATTATGTAAAAGCCAAATGGAAGTGTAAAATACTAAAATGAAATAGTATTACTCCCATGAAAAATACATAAAAAATAATTGATAAAATTATTAGGTGGAAAAAAGAGAAAAGTATACATATTATGTCTAACCTGGATGCCTGAACAATTGAAGAGCTTGCACAAATCTTGTCTGTTGATCACGTCACTATAGATGTATCTCCGAATCTTAATTTCAATATTTCATAATAATTCATATCAGTCGAAGGTAATCGATTATTAATTAAACTTAGAAAATTATGGATTTAAATAGCATCGGTAATTAGAATAATGATTGTTATATAACGATAAAGGTGTTGTCTAAAATCGTTATTGTTGTTATATAATGATAAAGGTGTTGTCTAAAATCGTTATTGCACAACTATGATACTCTATTGCTGCAATCGCGATGGATGTGATAGAATCGAAAACGCGACCGCAACCATAACTTAAATCCATATTTACATATAAGATTTAAAGGAGGAAGAGAAGACCTTGATGTGGTTATGAAAAGAATGAGAAGAAAGGCAATGAGAGCAAAAAGATTGAAGACAATCGATGCAGAACTTGTCCAACTCGTTCCTCTTTTGGTTGGGATGGCTAACACAATTCTTGAAGAAGATGGTGTTATACATAACAATCAGCCATGGCGGCACCACTGCAAAATGACTCCTCTGCAACACCCAAACAAGAAAAAACCATGAAAATGACGAAGATGAAGATGAAAAAGAAGAAGTTATAGTTGATGTGTACTTGTTGGGTTTTTGGGAAGGCTAAGGTGTTTCTCATGGTGTTTAGTATATGTGGATCAGATACTGACGTTTTTGGTTGTCGTCTCTGTCGTGGGCATATCACCTTATAAGCAGCTGTTCTGCTTTGCTTTGCTTTGGCTGAATCCCCTTGGACATTGAAGCGTCTTACTTGCATTTAAGTACGGACTCAGAAAATTTTATATTAAAGGGTAAATTTCTAAAGTTTTAAAAGAAGACGGAATTATTAAATTCAATGTGATGAAAATTTATTGTCCCATCCACTTCCCTTTGATTTATTTCTACATATAAGGTTTATTTATTTAACTAAAAACAGATCTTAGACTATACTCTATGAAAATTGAATTATACTTTTAATAATTATTTTACGAGATTTAAATATATAATTTGCTTTACTGTTTTATAATATTTCAAAAAAAATTATTCATTACAAATGTTATATAATATTAGATACATAAAATAATATTATTTTGAAAATTTGAAGAGTTCAAATATATGCAAAAAAAACACATCCCTAATTACCTACTTCATTAGATTTTCGCACTAAATTCATGCCCATATCAGCAGGGACGGAGATGAGCAGCAGCCTCCCCCCTCATTTTTTTAAAGATTTCCTAAAACTATATACTGTATTTATTTGGAAAAGCATTATAAAATATTCAGAAATCAATAAGTTTTGTTCAATTTTTTTTAAAAAAAAAACTCAAATTTATTAAGCCACGTATTAAATAAGAAACTTTATAAACTCAATCGGATTGGATTATGAATAAAACATTTGAAATATTTAAATTTTTTAGAATTTTAATATATATAGAGCTCAATTGGCTTGAAATAGATTTTGAATGCAAGTCATAAATTTGAACTTGAAATATTTAAAAATAAATAATTTTTAATTTAAAAACAAAAAAAATCATAAGATAATATATGTTCAAAACTTGTTTAACCTATTGACAACACATACATTACACAAATATAATTGTTAAAACTCGAAACCTCTAAAAATAATAATATTATGAGTTCTTTAATAATATGGCTTTTAAAATGAGTGTAGAGATGTATGGACATTTACGTGTTCATTAATGTGTTTGGTCATATACATATATAGGGAAATGAAAGCTGGGTTTATTGAATTAACCATTAAAAAACTTGTAAAGATTCTACAAAATTCGTACACTTAATTTCATGACATTAATAGCAACAAGCTGTTGACATTTACTCTTCGCACCAAAAACGATAAGCATTCGTTTAATTCATTGATGCTTCATTTATATTTCTCATCTCATTTCCTTTCCATTTGCCGATGAGTCCATTAATTCCAATTGCTTCAATTTTACACCTCACTTCACCTATCAATATAAGCCTAATTATATCTCCTAACCAAATCTCTTCTCAGAGAAAATTTTCACTAACTAAACACCAAGACCACATAATCTATTCTTTCAAAACTTTAATTTAACATTTTAAAAATTTACACGTACCTGTAAATACAATTATTTGAATTCGAATCCTTTAAAAAATCAACATTCTTTTTAATTACTTAAGTCACTTAATAAGTTCGGTTATAATCATAATTAAAGCATAAAATATTAACAGGGGTTAATCTTTTTGTCCTTATAGTTTAAAAATTAGGGTTGAATTAGCATATATCGTTAAATTAGGTTTCGGCTTTAATTATTTTCCATTACTAATGTATCTATATGATTTTAAATATAATTTTCTTCATGAGAAATAACGACTAACAGTGTTGGAATAGTGAAAGTTACAACGAGAAATTAAATAAAAAAAGTGTATACGGGGTAATGCATGTCATGCACGCAAAATCCCTATTTAATTATGGATTGTTATTCGATTCTGACCATGAAATTCGAGTTTAATTTATCGTCGTATATTTAATTTAAATAGATAAAAAATATCTGATAATAATTAAAATTAATTATTAAAATGAAAAATATTATTAATATATTAAATAGTTTTTATTACTTTTTTACAAAACATTTGATCTTATATTTAAATTAAAAGAATATATAATTGGTTTAATTAGATGACATTGTAACACTCTAAACCTAAGCCTCTAAACCTGAGCCTAAAGTGTCACATTTGACTGCCGAGACAACCCCTAATTTTTTAAACATGTTTTATTTCCATTTAAAACATAATATACAATATTAAAATAGACATACAAGATAGTTATAAAAAACCATTTTATAAATCGAAGCTCCGTGACACATAATTTAAATCAAATAATATAACTCAGGGTTGATAATCCAAAAACATAAGTAAGGGTATGTGAATACATATGCCCACTAAAGTTACAATACAATACTCTGTAAGGGATGTTGGAAGTCCTACTGCGATAGTGCTCCTCGAACGACTCAAGCTAATAACCTACAAATGGAAACATTCGAACGATGAGCTTACAAAGTCCAGCAGTATAATTGTTAATCTAAAGCAACATTAAGAGTCTCATAAATGCAAGCATGCTAAAGACATGGTACTAAGGTAGGTACATGCATGATCATAATCTAGTGCTCCCTACTTAAGGTTCAAATGTTCTTTCGGTGAAGCATGAGTCTCATATTTCCCTTAATCCTATGCTAAGGGTATCGCTATGAGTACATCTCTATTGGGCTTCTAACCCCAATGGCTATAACTGTTGTGCCTAAGCGATTATACATCATCTGAATATTGAAATTGGCAAATATTAATATGCATTTTAATTATGATTCTGTTAGAAAAAAATTCAAAAAATGTATTATTTCCTATGGGCAACCCTAAAAACACACTTTATGTCAGTTAAGACGTGTTTTTATGGATTCTCCATACAAAAGAATATTACCATGTTTATTTTAAATTATTTATATTTAATATAAAAATAAAAGTAAATAAAATATAAAAAAATCACTCAAGTATAAAAAAATATTATTTCGCATGAATAATTCTCGAAACACACTCATTGTCAGTCAAGGTGTGTTTACATAAATTTCCCATACAAAATAATATTGCTTTAATTTATTTTTTTAAATAAATAAAAGGTATATATTTAATATATTTAGAAATTATTTTAATACAAAAATAATACTAATTTATGCGGACAATCCTCGGAAACATATTCCTTGTTAGTTAGGATGCGTTTCCATGAACCCCTCACAAAGTAATATCTTAAAGATGTTTACTATCGAATCTAGCAAAAATATATTTAATACTAGGTATATATGTAATACAAGAAAAAATTATAAACAATAAAAGGCAAATAGCAACATATAATATATATAATACCTAAAACAGAACATGAGGCTATTTAATGTACTGTTGCATACATATTTGTTAAATAAATAAAAAGGGCTTTAATGCAAGAATATGAACGTGACAAGCCAGAATATAAATAGCAATAACTACATGGGCACTGGCAAAAATATGGCAAAAGGTAAGGAGCAAAATGTAAATAACATGAAGTAGAAGTACTAGAATCTTAATAAAACCATAGTTATCATACTAACCAAGATGAAAGGTATTAAAATAGTAACATAAACCTAAAATAATAGCATAAAAGCTAAAAAAAAATCAATGTGTCAAATATCAAAAAGAAATAATAAAAAAAACGTGAATAGAACCAAATAAACATATAGGACTTAAATAAGATGAAAGAAAAATAAACAACTCAAAATGAAAAGAAACCAAACTTCATTCCACAGCCAAAATGAAAATGTTACAAAATTGGAACTCTTCCCAAGAAAATATCCCATTGACTAAAAAAGCAATTCCCAGCTTATGTTATCACAAAATGGCGGCAGACTTTTAATAGGCCTTATTTAGGGTTTTTTTAATTAAAAAACATTTATACTTAGGAAAACCCTAAAGCATAATATGCTCACCATCTCCCCTCCGCCGCTCATTTTCTTAACTTTATCTTCACTCATTTCCTTTTTTTCTTTTTTTTTTGAGAAAACCAAACAAAATCCCCGAATGGCTCAACTCTAAGCATGGACTAATGGTGGAAACAGAGTTACCTTTGACGTTGCAAAGTTTCTAGTCTCTAGTGAGCAACGATGACGTTCCTTCAACTCTTTAAAGGACGCTTCCACTCCGGTGGAACCAAAGACGATCTTAAAAGGTAAGATCTTGGTTCTTTTTCTCTGTTTTCTTTTTCAAAAAACTCTATTTTTTCGTTTTTGGTTGTTGATGATTTCGAAAAGCCCACTCTCTGTCATGATCCAGGAGGCAAGACGGGAGACTGATGAGAAGAAACGAGGAAACAAATTACAGACTGATGAGGAGAAAGGGGGAAACACGGGAAAATTAGGGATTATGTTTGGGAAATTAAATGAGGAGTTTAAGGATGGGGCTGAGATATTACCTGATGAAGAGGGCCGTGCGTGGACTGTTGAAGCAAGAGACCAAGGCTTATTGGATTAGGAGATGACGAACCCAATACCTACAGCCAACAAAAGACAACAGAAACGGTTAATATAAGTTGTTAGAGAAATGTTACAGCTGGCAATCTGTTAGTAAATAATTCCTATAAAATTCAGTTGTAATGAGAGGGAAATTATGAATGAAATGATGATGAATTCTGTTTTCTATACTCTATTCTCTCTATCTTCTTAAATCCTTTCTTATTTTGTGAGCGTTTCATCACAATTGGTATTCAGAGCAAGGCCATTTTTGATCCAAAAATACTAAATATTTTTTCTCAAGCTGGGTAAGATAAGGAAATTGCAGCAGATGACTCACAATGATCAGCCACCGATCATTCCTGCTGATCCAGCAGAGTCTTCTGAGGTGGAGCCAGTTCCAACTTGGTGGCTTACTCAACAGAGTACTTGGGAGCAGCGGATGCAACTACTGGAGGCTACAACAACTGACACGAAGAACATGTTTCAGTAACTATTGGGGTTGATACAGAAGGCTGGGACTGAATCTGGGCAATCTACTCCTGCAGAACGACCACAAGCACCAAGAACTCAGATCAAGGATGCAACTAAAGTGCCATTACAAGTTACAGTCCTTGATGATAAGGAGAAATACTCATTTCAACCAGGACAACCGGGAATCCTAGCATCCAAGCCTACCTTGCCACAGGATGTTTTTAAGATGAAAACAACAGTAAATACAGTGGAGTCAGGGGAACAACCTGTCAGTAAGGGTCATCCATTTATGGAAAAACATTCCAGCAATAACAACACTGGTATGTTTCTTCTGAAACCAAAAATAGAGCTCCAGTTCTTTGATGGTACTAATCCTAGGAGTTGGATTAGGAAATGTGAGAAATATTTTTCTATCTTTGTTGTTCCTGAATTACAGAAGTTAGAAATAGCTGCCATGTACTTTACTGGTAAGGCTGAAGTGTGGTTTGATGGGTATATTATGAAGAAAAGTCGAGTTACTTGGCATGAGTTTGTTTCTGATATGTGTCATCGATTTGCTGATAAAGGATATATTGATGTTATTGATGAATTTAATAAATTGACTCACTGTCCTCTGTGGAGGAGTATGAATCTCAGTTTGAGGAACTTCAGCCTTACCTTCTTCAGATTAATCCTGAACTAGGAGATGAGTATTTTGTTTCCAGTTTTTTGAGTGGTCTTAAGGAGGAATTGAAGCATAAGGTGAAGGTTTTGGAACCCAAGACTGTAGCTGAAGCTGCTAGGAAAGCAAAACTCTATGAGCTAGCAGCAGAAGTGGAAAGAAAAAAATTCAGAAGTATTTCCAGACCAATGCTGCCAGGGAATTTTACCAGTTCCAGGAATTCTAATCCTTCAGTAAGTTCACCTTTGAAAAACAGTTCAGGGCTCACTCCAAACAGACAGCAGCTACTGGATTATAGAAGGGCCAATAATTTATGCTATAAATGTGGTGACAAGTTTACTCCAGGACATCATTGCAAATTGAAGCAATTGAATTCTATGGAAAAACTGGAGGAGCAAGAGGAGGCTGAAGAATTACAAGCAGCTCAACCTAATATTGATAAAATACCATAAGAAGAAAAAGATACTGAGATTTCTATGAATGCAATTACTGGAAGTTTAGGAAGTAGTACCTTGAGGATTCAAGGATTCATAAAAGGGAAACCACTCAATATATTAATTGATAGTGGTAGAACCCACAGTTTTGTCAATAATAGGTGGGCTAAAGAAGGGCTGGAATTGGAGGAAACTAATCCCTTAGTTATCACAGTAGCTAATGGTGATAAACTTTATAGTACATCAAAGAGTAAACAACTGAGTTGGGAGATGCAAGATTTTCTTTTTGAACATGATTTCAAGGTTTTACCCCTTGGAGGCAGTGATATGGTGCTAGGAGTTGATTGGATGAAGAAATATAGTCCAGTATTAATGGATTTTAACAACATGACTCTTAGTTTTAAAATGGGTGACCAAGAGATTGTATTGCGGGGAATATTGCACACTACTGCAATGAGGATAATTTCAAGCAACAAAATGCAGAAATTGATGATTAAGAATCCTGAAGCAGTTGAGGAGATCTATATGCTGAATGCAGAAGTTGGTTATAATGAAATTCCTCCTACAATTCAAGCAGTAATTGCTGATTACAGAGATGTATTTGAGGAGCCTACTGGAATGCCTCCAATAAGGAAGCATGATCATTCTATTATTCTAAAATCAGGAATTGAAGCAGTTAATGTCAGACCTTACAGAATGCCTTATCATCAAAAATCAGAGGTTGAGAAACAGGTGGCTGAAATATTGGCAGCATCAATTATTCAAACTAGCAAAAGTCCTTTTGCTTCACCTTGCTTGTTAGTTAAAAAGAAGGATGGTAGTTGGAGAATGTGCATTGATTATAGACAGTTAAATGCTTTAACTGTTAAGAATAAATTTCCTATACCTGTGGTGGATGAACTAGCTGGAGCTAAATTTTTTTCTAAATTGGATTTACGATATGGATACTGGCAGATTCGGATCAGGCCTGAAGACATTCCAAAAACAGCCTTCAGGACACACCATGGTCATTTTGAATTCAAGGTAATGCCCTTTGGCTTAACTAATGCACCAGCTACTTTTCAAGCTCTTATGAATGATTTATTTGGAGCTTATCTCAGGAAATTTGTCCTAGTATTCTTTGATGATATTTTAATCTACAGCCCTGATTTACATAGTCATGCACAACAGTTGAGAATTGTGTTGGAAATTCTAAGGCAAAATAAGCTTTTTGCTAAGAGAACTAAATGTTTCTTTGGCCAATCAGAGGTGGAGTACCTTGGTCATACTATTTCTCCACAGGGAGTAGCTACAGATTCTTCAAAAATTCAAGCTATTAAGGAATGGTCCATTCCAAGGAATTTGAAATCTTTGAGGGGTTTTTTGGGCCTTACTGGCTACTACAGAAAATTTATTAGGAGTTATGGAGAAATCAGTAAACCCCTCACTACTATGTTGAAAAAAGATCAATTTTTTTGGACTAAGGAGGCTAGAGAGGCATTTATCAAACTTAAGGAGACTATGTGTAGGGCTCCTGTGCTAGCTTTACCAGATTTTACAAAGCAATTTTGTTTAGAAACTGATGCCAGTTATAAGGGTATAGGAGCAGTCTTGTCCCAAGAAGGCAGACCAATTGCTTACCTCAGTAAGGCTTTGGGACCAAAGCAAATTGATTTGTCTATCTATGAGAAGGAGTATCTAGCAATATTAATGGCTATTTCTAAATGGAAACATTATCTTGAAGGGAGTCCATTTGTTATTAAAACAGATCATGAATCTTTGAAACATTTGTTAGAACAGAAGATTAGTACTGCTATTCAGAAGAAAGGTCTAACAAAATTGCTAGGACTGGATTACTCAATTCAGTTTCGCAGGGGCAAACATAACAAAGCTGCTGATGCTTTATCTAGACAGTTTGAAGACAAATCAGAATTAAATCAGTTATCTGCTACAATTGTTATTCCTGCTTGGGTTCAAGAGGTGGAAAACAGTTATGAGCAGGATTCTTTGGCAAAGGATTTCATTCCTAAGTTGCTACTTGATAATAATTCTATATCAGATTGGTCCTATGCTAAGGGTGTTTTGAGATACAAAGGTAAAGTTTATGTTGGTGAGACAGGTGGTCTAAGACAGCAGATTCTTTCTATACTTCATGATTCACCACAAGGTGGCCATTCTGGGATACATGCTACTTATTACAGGCTGAAGTTGTATTTTTTTTGGAAATGAATGAAGGCACTGGTTAAACAGTATGTGCAGCAATGTGATGTTTGTCAGAGAATAAAAAATGAACATGTTTTACAGCCTGGATTATTACAACCTTTACCTATTCCACAGCATGCTTGGGAGTTTATTACTATGGACTTTATTGACGGGCTGTCTACTTCTAATAGATTCAATTCTATTTTGGTGATAATTGATAAATTCACCAAATATGGGCATTTTTTACCTCTGGTTCATCCTTTTACAGCTTCTGAGGTTGCTAAAATCTACTTGGACCAGGTTTACAAACTTCATGGTCAGCCTAAAGTTGCTCTTTCTGATAGAGATAGAATTTTTACTAGTGTTTTTTGGAAGGAATTATTAAAGTTATTGGGAACTACAACATTGTTTACTACTGCCTATCATCCTCAAACGGATGGTCAAACTGAGAGGCTTAACCAATGTCTTGAACAGTATTTAAGGGGATTGTGTTTTCTAAAACCAAGTTCCTGGGCTAAATGGTTATCCCACGCAGAATGGTGGTATAACACTAGTTTTCATACAGCATTGGGTACAACACCTTTTCATGCCCTATATGGCTATACACCTCCAACAATGACTTGGTCAAGCGAGACAAGGGTGGCTGATGTACAGCAGTTTATGCAGGAGAGGGATAATATCAATAGTATCCTTTTGGAACAACTCACTAAAGCACAGCATCACATGAAATATTATGCAGATAGAAATCGCAGTGACAGGGAATTTAAGGAAGGGGAGGAAGTTTACCTTAAGCTTCAGCCTTACAAGCAGACTTCCTTAGCTCTACGCAAAAATTTGAAACTGTCTGCTCGATACTATGGTCCCTACAAGATACAGAAACGAATTGGTTCAGTCGCATACCAATTAGAATTGCCAGTTCATTCTAAACTTCATCTGGTATTTCATATCAGTCTTTTGAAAAGAAAAATTGGGGATAGAAGTGTTGCTTCACGAGACCCATCTGAACTTACTTTGGATGGACAGCTTCGGGTTTATCCTGCAATTGTTTTGGATAAACGAGTCATTAAAAGAAACAATAAGGCAGTGACTCAATTGTTGATTCAGTGGTTGAATTTAGGGATTGAGAATGCTACCTGGGAGGATTTTACGGTGCTATGATCCCAATTTCCTGATTTTGATCCTTGGGGAAAGCATCCATTGCAGTTGGGGGTATTGTCATGATCCAGGAGGCAAGATGAGAGACTGATGAGAAGAAACGAGGAAACAAATTACAGGCTGATGAGGAGAAAGGGGGAAACACGGGAAAATTTGGGATTATGTTTGGGAAATTAAATGAGGAGTTTAAGGATGGGGTTGAGATGTTACCTGATGAAGAGGGCCGTGCGTGGACTGTTGAAGCAAGAGACCAAGGCTTATTGGATCAGGAGATGACGAGCCCAATACCTACAGCCAACAAAAGACAACAGAAACAGTTAATATAAGTTGTTAGAGAAATGTTACAGCTGGCAATCTGTTAGTAAATAATTCCTATAAAATTCAGTTGTAATGAGAGGGAAATTATGAATGAAATGATGATGAATTATGTTTTCTTTACTCTATTCTCTCTATCTTCTTAAATCCTTTCTTATTTTGTGAGTGTTTCATCACACTCTCCTTTTT